AAACATCAGTAATAGGTTCAGTTTTAGTCTAATTCTTTTAATATACAGACTAAAAGATATCGTAACCCAGGAAATAATCTAATGGAATGATATACCAGAAGAATTTGATCTGGAAATGTTGTGTTGTGTGTCAGAAGATTGTCAAGCTTTGGGCTAAAGTAACCTGGATTTGTCTGAGTGCTAGTGTTAATTTCCCACATTGCACCAGAGGCTGGTATGTGCACACACACACACACAGAAACTGATAAGACAGTAAGTTAATTAGGGTGGTGAACATGGTCTAACAGCTCAGTGAGAGGGGAGGACAGAAAGGCCTTGGCTCCAGTGCTGACACAGAGCCAGAGATGGTAGGAGGAGGTGGTGATGGATGATGGAGGACAGACAGAGGAGGAAAGTTGCTTGATAGCGGGAGAGTGGGATGAAAAGACTGTGAAGGTGAAACAAATCTGGGGTAAAGCTACAAGGATTTCCCTGAGTTCAGCTTTAATAGCGCATTATCTGTTCCACATTGGGTTGCTGAATAAACATGCTGTGAAAGCTGCACATTATCAGACCAAGACAAGGATGAGAACAGTCAGGGCAGACAGGTTTTGTTAGAAGACTATTTAAAGATGATTGTGTTTAGAAGTGAAGAGTTAAAAGATAAGGTCCTTGGATTGCCTTGAGCTTCTTTTCACACAAACGTAAGACTCAAACTACTTTGTGCATTTTGAAGAGTTAAAAGATAAGGTCCTTGGATTGCCTTGAGCTTCTTTTCACACAAACGTAAGCCTCAAACTACTTTGTGCATTTTATAAAATAACTGGCGAGTGTGTGTGTTTGTGTGTGTATAATTTTTTTTTTTTTATAGATAAAACGTATTTGAAAGGGAGAATCTTGTTATCAGATGAAGTTTGGAATAAAACAAGTGAGATGAAAGAGTAGAAGGGGAGGAGATCCTGGAGACAGAAGGGAGGCCGCTTTCTTCCAGAGGAGACTGGAAAGAAAAAATACTGTGAAGAGGAAATTAAAAGGAGGAGATGGTTAATATACTGTATGTAGCTGCACATGAGGGGAGTCAAATTAGTTTGACGACGCTTTGTGTGTCGGGGTGGCTCACATGCATACTTGTCATTGACTTCCTTGCAGAAACCGTCTTTTGCAGCCGTCAGTGCAACAGTTAAATGAAGCTCTGGTTTAAAGCTGTTATATTGAATCTAATTTATGTACTCCAGCTGTTTCTTTAATTGATTTAACAATAAGATGTGTGTCGGGGTGGACAGTGATATTGAGGTCATGCTGACCTGTGTTACTTCAGCCTAGAATAATGTTAGAATATCTTGGAGCCAGGAGTGCTTCAAGTCATTATAGCTTCAGCTGAAGTCAGAAGTGTGGATACATTGAAGCAAACTCTCAAGACATAAATGAATATATAAATAAAGAAATCATGTGAAAGTCTTTTAATGTATGTAAATTAGACTTAATTAGTAAAATATGGGACTCATTCCAATTGAGACTGTTTCCCACTTCTCCCTTTATGCATTTTGGTAAGAAATATCTGATCACATCACAGAGCTTGACATTCTGTCATGCTAACTGTGAGCAGAAGCGAAAGGGTAGTGTTTTTAAAAAAAACTTGTAATACATTCCTATAGTGGATAGATTGTATGGGTTGTTATGCTGCTTTTCTCAGATGTAGCCTACTGTTCTCTTTGTCAGGAATCATTTGTGGCGCCCAGCTTGAGCCGATGCTGTAACGTGACTTGTGGAAGCAGCCCCATCAGCCACACCATTAAGATCAGCAATAAACTTGTGCTTGACATCCGTCGCCACATCAAGAAATACTACTCTGTAAGTATTTCTGTTTGTATGCCATTTTGCGAGCATGAGTGAGGGTTTTGTAACGAACGATCCTGCTGGTGAAATGCTGCTACACACAAGCACGTGCGAGTTGACTTTCTTCACCACCTGCAAGGCCCCAAATGGACTTTGTTTGGTTTTCGTTTAGTGTCAGATGCTGTGACTTGTTAATCTAGCATAGCTAACCAGTCTTTTGCTCTTTTCTTTTTGTAACATCTTTTCTCCAAAGTACTGTTTATTTGATCTTGCGGTTAGTTTACATTTTTAGAGCAAGTGCTTCATTTGTGCTTTATGCACTGTCAAGCATTAGGTATATTTGCACACTACTATCAGTCCATTTCTTAAAAGTAATTCTTCAGCTAACAAAATCCAAGCTCAAGTGGTCAGTATGTAATAAAGCAGTCAAAACCTGACCTTCCACAAAGCATCTGAGCTGGACCAGATGCTGTAATGGTAAGAGAAGGAAGGCATTAAAAAGACACTGGACAAAAGATGAAACCTCAGCAGGGCACTGCACTGACATTTCCAAACAAATGCCCCCCCCCCTTACTCTGAATACCAAGTTTAACATGCAGTCAGAAGGTAAGATGAAATTTGAGTGAAGCGTCAGGGAAACACTGCCATTAGAGAATCAGCAAAGACAAAGTATAACATATTTAAGATGTAGCAGATTTGTCTCAGTAAAACAGCTTGAAAGAGGACTTGCAGTGATAAGCCTTACAGTGCCACATATAGACCATCTCAGGAGCATGTCTGTAATGTGTGACAGTGAGAAGCATTTCAGATAAAACACTGCTCCTTTTATCTAACAGAAAAATATAATTGCTCATAATGCTACGCACTCTACGTGTTAGAGTATTATTGTAATATACTGGTTGTCTGTCACTTGAATTGAGTTATGACAGCTATGTTTTATCATTTTACTGCTGGGCCATTGTAGCAGCAGCAGTAGGGATGGCAAGGTTGGTCCAGAGTGAAATATCTCACTTGGTTAACCAAGGATAAGATACCACATATTATCCCTCTGATCTTGTAATCAAATGGTTAATGTTTAATCTGTAGCCACACTCATTAAAAGATGTAGAGAGTTCTCTAGCTGCTTAACTGTTATGATTTTCTGTGTTTGTTTTAGTATAAAATATATATATTTTGGCAATGGGCTGTTGGTCAGTCAAATCCATAGACTGTATATAAAGATGGGCGACCACACAGAGCCACCACAGGTCTGCCCCCCTCCACGGTAGCAAATGGGACGCGCTGTTTGTCAGTCAAATCCATAGACTGTATAGAAAGATGGGCGACCACACAGAGCCACCACAGGTCTGCCCCCCTCCACGGTAGCAAATGGGACGCAAGCAAAACAAAAAAAATCAAAGTACAAATCACACATTTTTCCAAAAGGTGATTTGTCTCACTTCTGATATTCAGATATGATCTTGCTGTGTGCAAGTGGCCATTTGATAATTTAAAATGAAGGTATGTATTTTGGATGTTTGGTGGTCGGGTAGAGCTGTTCCACCTCTGGCTGCTTCTGCACAGAAACTGGTAGTAAAATGTGTCACAAAAGCAAGATGAGCAATATTTTGGCTTCACCTTTAGTAGTGGCACGAGGTGGTGAGGCATTGTCCATCTTTATGTATATATACTCAGTTACAGTGAGAAATGACATTGCTTTGGACTTTAGTTAAGTGCTGTGAACATTTGATGTTTTACAGATTTAAAAAAAAAAAGACTGGCAGAAATTATTATTCCAGTTCTTGTATCACTTTCTGACCATTTTCAGCACATTTAACCAAGACAATGATAATTGTGATATTAAACTTTTTACTGGTGCTCTAGTACAGTGTGTGACGAGCAGCTTGCAAGTGAATTTAACTGGATTCCTGTGTTGTCTTTGTAGCAGGGTCTCTCTCCTGGTAGCTTCCAACACCTTGGTTGTGAGTGAGCGGAATGCAGCGTCGGTAAAAGTGTGGGGGTTACTCTCCCACAGTGCTGAACAGAAATCAATTAGTGCGGTGAATGTGTGGGGAGCGAGTCCCCCTCAAACCCTTTGTCACGATGTGTGAAACAGCTGCTACCACTGAATACTTACACCTCACACAGCAACACACACACTCACCATTGGAGACTGAACGGCGGTGGACTCGGCACACACACACAGCGAGGCAATGAAGAGGGGTAATATTGTGTAATTAAGGATTCCTTTCAGGCCGAGGGAGCGTTCAAATAGAGTTGTTTGTCTGGCCAGATAGAGTGAAAGCTCTGCACCTCTGTGTGTGTGTGTGTGTGTGTGTACACGATATATGTACATGTGTGTTGGCGTTCTAAGCTAAGACCACAGAGACATTAATCATTAGTGAAATTACCTCCTGCCCCCCTCACCCTCATCCCCACCATTATCAATAAACCAGCACCCTGAGAATGGGCAAACACTTGTTCATGCCTCGCGCGCACACACACACACAGACTCTGTTGTCATCCTTTCCTCTTTTCATCCCACTGTCTTTGGCAAAATGAGAGATTCGGTTGTTTCCTGAACCACCCAATTCTTCTCTTTCTTTTTTCTTACCCCTCCCATCTAACCACCGTTGCCATGGCATTTAACAAATTATTGCAATTACCCTCGTCATGCGGGTCGCCCCTGGAAACGGGCTGAGGGGCAAGAGAAGAAAGGGGGAGGGAGAGTGAGACAGGGTGAATGAAGACCAGAGAAGGTGATAATCCTGTTTTGAACAAAGGTCAAATTGTTGAATAGGGAAGCTTTGATTAAGCGGAGGAGGTACAAAGTGGAACCGTTTGAGCTCTATTCACTGTCTGTGTGTGTGTATGTGAGACTGAGAGAGAGTGTGCATGTTTGTGAAGTACACCGATTTTAGGTCTATTCACTTCAGAGCTGGCAGTGTTGACTGCCAAAGCACAAAAAAAGAGGTGTGTGTGTGTGTGTGTGTGTGTGTGTGGCGCGCAGGTGGATTCCTCTGGTACAGTCATGTCAGCTCTTTACTGTCTTAACAATAGAGATGAAGTGATTTGTTGATTAATCAATTAATAGATCAACAAAACAATCTTTCACATATTGAGCACAAACTGCCTAATTCACTTGTTGCTCCTCAGATGTGAGTATTTACAGATTTTAAAGAGGAAGGTTGTACTCAGCATTTTGAGGACCCCACCTTTGGCTTTTGTTTATTGACACCAAATTGTTTAATTAAAATGTCCAACAGGCTCATGGATAAATGAACCTTTAACTACAGATATTCTGCAAGTTGAATACAGAAAAGTTAACTGTTGCTGCTTTCATTTAATCACTGTTAGTCACAAAAATTCCAGAAAACTGAAAACTTTTAAGTGTTTGTTTATTTTGACCAAGAGTCTAAAGGGAATTTTTGATTGACAGATGACTTAAATGAGCAATAACTTATCAAGTTATGAATTATTGGCTAAATTTTTCAATGCTGCAGCTTCAGTAGAAAAGTACGTAATAAAGTGGATGCCAAAGAATTATAGACCAAACTGTAAGAATTGGGTGATGAAGACAGAACAAACAAAGAAGCTGCAGCAGAGAGGGTATATTTCGTGGTGGTCCCTGATGTGACCTGGTCTTGCCTCTGTTTGGTTAAATTATGTGGAACTCATTTGATGTCTGCATTCAACGTGTCGGGTATCCACTGCTATAATTATGCAATTATGAGCCTTTATTCTCTCACGTCCCACTGTACACCCGCACCCCCCACCCTTGCGCTGGCGAAATGCCTCAATTAGTTGCTTTTTTTTTTCTTCTTCTTCTTCTTGCCTCACTTTTCATGTGCTCCCTATTTTTAGTACTTTGTGGCTTACAAAGATCTTCTGCACTTAATCCTAAAGTGTCGTGTTTAAGTTTTTGTGTGGATGGGTCTCACTAGCAGAGCAGAAGGGCATTGTGGGTAGCTTTACCTCCTTGGAGCCCTCTTAAGCTGTTTTCACACCTGAACTCTGGACAGCATCCGCAGAATCAGGCTTGGACTTTGTCCAGAGCTTCCCTTTCACACATGTAGCACACAACAGGAGATGGTCTTTGTCCGACATGTAATTTTGCTCATAAACAACCGCATCTCTTGCCGTTCGTTGAATCATAATCTTAATGACAGATCTTTCCAAATCCCCTCGTGTCTCCAGTTAGATATTTTCGTTGGCATCTTCACGTCGGTCACATGATAGAACGTCATCAACACACCCACTAGCTCGGTGTGAATACTCTGGACTATACACTGCTGTGCTCTCACGTGTCACTCTGACATAACATGGACTTTGTACTAGGGAGCTGGCAGAATAAAGTCCGTTTAATGTCCCAGTTAAACTGACTTGGACGTTTGTATTTTCACATTCAGCTCTTCTGGGTACTGTCTAGATAATTTCAGGGTGTCGGTGCATGTCTGAAAAGGGCTTTACTCGTGTATGTGTGTCTTGGGCACTTGAGTCTTTGATGCATGTTCTTTTAATTCATTTTAATGCATGTAAATTGGAAGTGATTAATGTTTGTGCTCACACTGAATGTGGTGTGCGTGTGTGTGTGTGTGTGTGTGTGTGTGTGTCCCATGGGAACGGCAGTGTGTACCAAGGCCTGTGTCATAAGACATACACAAAAAAGATGGCGATCAAACAGCCGCCCACTCTCGTGCTTCTTATCTCCCACCTTGACAGGCCATTGTCCCACACATCTTTATCAGAGATGGTGAAGCACTCTCATTTCCCATGATGCTTAGCTCTTTGTACAAGCTTGATGGAGGTGTTTAGATAATTAGTCCTGGACCTGGAATCTGTGGGTAAAGCTGTGAACTCTGGGACTACCTAATTGATTTGGGACATATGGTTGTATTTGTGTGTTTGGTTTTCATTTAGAGGAGATTGGCTGGGTGTGTGTGTGTGTGTGTGTGTGTGTGTGTGTGTGTGTACTGATGACAAGAAGTGGCCTTCTTCCTGTCTGCTCATAAATCCACTGTTTAGCTGATTTAAAAATAAAAACATTTGCAGTAATACGCAGATTGTTCTTTCACTGTGCAGTACACAATAACCCTTTCATGCGCAATCATAAATTTGATCATTTTTAGGTGTTAAAACACTTATGACTGCATGAAGAGTTTGCAGTTACAGAAGAAAAAGTGGGATAACAGATTATGTGGTTGTTTGCAGAAAACGAGAGTTTAGAAAAACGATCAGCCCTGCTTCCTTAATATGTGGATAGTGTCACGTGACACAGTTGCTATCAGAACTGCCTGTGCTCTGCCCAAACTCATCCACCGAGAGGCTGTTCACGCTTTGCACGTCCACATGTCCGCTTAAGTCAAGTGTAATTTTGGTCATCTTACCAGGTCCGCGGGGTTCCACGCGGGCTCTGTGTGGACATCTGTGTGCAAACCAAAAGTTTGTGTTCATGTGGACGTTTCGCACAACAAAAGCCATGTGCCACAAAGCTTGGAAATCATCAGCTTATGCAAACAGAAGGCAGACCCTTGATTTGAAGTATGAATAGGAACGGGTGCTCATCTCTCGTCCGTGAATGCACGAGGATATGTGCCAAGCATGTATGTTCCTTAACACTCAGTAGTGCTGTTGCTGGGACATTATGTACTTGATTTAGATCCTTTTGCTGAGAGTTTGGGAGTATGTTTGTGTTCATCGGTGTCAAAGGTGCACTCTTTAGTCAGACCTTTACTTCTCGTCTTATAGAGACAGACACTGGTGACCTTCTCTAGTTACAGTGAGCCCTGGTTGGAAAAGGGTTTACATACTGCAGTTGGGTCTAAAGAAGAATCGCCACCTAATCATTGCCATCAAAACTGATCAAGAGCCTAGACAAAGGCCAACAAACCTATCAGAAACGTTGCACACTCGTATGTACAGCATGTGTCAGTGGCTGTGGATAGAAAGACAGCTGCCTGGTTTTAAAGGGCTCTATCTTGAGTAACTGGACGATAGGTAGAAGCAGGAAAGAAGCACAGGCATTGATGGTGGTGGCCCTTATGCTCTGTCATTAGTTGGGCATTAACCCCCTCCCCTTTAAACCCTCTTTAGTAGTGACAAGGCATAAGAAGCAGAGGGGGTTTGGGGTGTCTGGACGTATACAGGGAGATTAAGAGGGTTAGACCACAGCACCTGCCCAGGGTCACTACCTCGTCCCAGGGGGTCCTAACTACTGTCGTTTTGGCTGTCCGCTGCTCCGCCTGAGCAGGACCCTGGCACGCAGCAGCTGAAGATACATTCACATGTAAAGAAAGGAGAGTGGGATGCTCTTCTTGTCCCTCTTTCTTTGTGCGTCTCCTGCAGTTGTTTGTATTTTACTATGCTTCTTTATTTCTTTCTCCACTTTTCTTGTCAGTGTTGTGCAGAAGTAGAGCAGCTAAATGGAAGCGACAATTTTCAGCAAATTTTCTTCATTACCAGAAACTGTTTTTCAAGTTTCTTGAGATAACAAAAGTTTTGTGGTCAATTTTTAAGAACGCCTTTATCGGCAAAGTAAATGGCGACAACGTACACATTTTTATAGGTAATCGTGGTGGGTGGTAAAGGCTGCACAGGATATTTTCAGTTGTACGGCCTTATGTTCATCTGTTTGATCGAAACGTACCTTAGTCGTGATGGAAATTAAAGGAGTTTGATAAATGCTCTGAAAATTATAGACTGGGTTTGTGTTCGTGGGTGTGTTTTATTGATAGTGGTTTTCTTCCCACCCGACTGCAGCTGAAGATTATTCTCAGTACAGATTTAATAAATATGTCCATTATTATTTTTATAATTAATAATCAGCCTAATTTTTATGCTTTACAGACTTAAAACCTGGCTCATGTTGTTTATTCATTTTATTTAAATATTCTCTTATACATTTGTCTGTTTTATTATTTAAATCATTGTGTGCAGTCTTTGTTTTATATTGCTTTTTAATGTTCATATTTATTCTGTCATTAATCAAGGATAGCACTTTGAATTGCATGAACTTATGTGGAAGATGGTTGTATAAAGTTTTAATTGATTGAAATGTCAAAAAAAGATAATGTTTTCACATGTCTTGTTCTGTCATATGAACTTTCCAAAGCCAAAATTATTTAAGATTTTGATACAAAAGCAGAAAATCCTCATATGAGAAGCTGTATCCAGGGAGAAAGAAAACATTTACGACTAATAAATTATCAAAATAGTTGTGATGTGCTGACTGATCGCTGCAGCGCTACTAACGTTTGGAAATGTTCCAGGAGGTGCAATTGATGTGTACTTGATGTGTGTCTCATAGGGCTGGTTGGTTTGTGAGGACCAGGCCTGTCAGAACAGGACAAGACGTTTGCCCATTGCCTTTTCCAGACACGGACCCATCTGCCCTGCCTGCACCAGGGCAACTCTCAGACCAGAGGTAACTAAACCATGTCTGACAAGCACAACATCAGCACTCACTCTTGTCTATGTATGTATAAACACAACCGTACACAAACTGCTGCATCATACACACACTCTGGACTGAGGTTGAGTTCACACAGAGTTCTGTATGTTTTGTCCAGGGGATGGTGCTATGGAGCTGAAGTCTCCCCTCTCATATGTGCTGTACATCTCTGCTCATTAGTATCACATTTCAGCATTTACACGCCGATAGAGGTGATCATCTCTTTGTCTTTCAGCTTCTGTGCGTATGTCTTGGCGTGCCCGTGCGCACGCACGCCTCCCTGCCTGCATGCGTTTGAAGGCACTCACAGCTGGATGGTATTTTAGCCATTAAAAGCATCTGTCTAGCTCTTGCAGCCACCTTATGAACACTTTGTTAGCTTGACCACTGGATTTAAAAGAAACACTCTCCCTTTCAATTTGAGTGTGACAGTTCAATCTGGGGTTTTTTGTCCCCTCTCTCTGTCCCGTTCTTATCACTGCTGCCTTAACACTTTCGTCAGTTTTTTTTTTATCTTGCGTGCTCTGCTCCCGTGCTTCCAATCCCCCCACCTGGCTGCTTTGCTGTGTCTGGCTCTGTGGCGACAGGTTGTAAACCAAAAGGCCAATTTCTCCTGTCACTGTAGCCACTTAGGCAGCCATTGTTGTGCCTGAGGGCCATGGCACTTTAAACTGCAGGCTGAATAAAACATTTAACTCTGTGCTCACTCATGCACCTTTTTTCTACCCTAAAACCTGTGGACCCCCCCAACTTTGTTGTTGCATTGTCCTTATGGTTGCATGTATGATGAACAGGGCAAAAGGACAACAGGCTTAGCCTGCAAAGTTTGCAAGCTGCTGTGCATACATGTAAATCTAACAGATTCAGTGGAATATGTTTGAAAGAAATAATTAAAAACTGGAAAAATCTAAAACATAAAACAAGTAGTGTTTCCTCTAAATGAGAGGAGTCACTGTCAAAATGCTATCTATGCCTGTCAACAATAAAGAGGACGGTGGTCAAGCTCAGCAACACGTCTGCAACATGTGAAAACTAGGTATATTAGAAAGGCAGAAGAATGTTTCCTGTCGCTATGACGCAGACACTCCAGTGGTTTGGGGTCTCTTTATCTTGGATTCATTTGTATTTTTTCCATAAATGTTGCACTGTTCCTTTAACCTTAACATATTTCTAATTTTTCCAAAACCTTCTTGTTTAAGCAACCGGGTGCATGTTAAAATATTTCCTTTACTGTGGAGTAAGATTGATGGGAGTAATAATAATAGGGAGGTTGTCATGTTTACTGCAAGTTCACAAATGAAAATAGCAAGCTAAACTGGAAAAAGGGCTTCAGTGAAAGTACATTCAAGGTGATGTTTGGTCTGGTTAACACATCTGGATCCTAGTGTCCCAGCCTAATTCATAGGTGTGTGTGCACATTTTAATTTCTTTTGTGTTGCCAATTCCTGGTGTTATCTCTTGTGCACCTGGTTGAAATCATGTGGAAGAATATTGTCAGCCAGGTTGTCAGCACGAAGTTCATTAGAGATGCATCATTCTGACATGCGCCTTCATCAGGCATTGATCAGTACTTTTCTTTGGATGATCTTTCAAAGCCTAATGTTCATGACTGAAATGTCCTCTGTTTAACTAGCAGTGTGCAGGAATTTAACCAGCTCTTTCACAAGTTAGCCACTTTGTCAATTATTCTTGCAAATTACATTAAATGTGTTCATTCAGAGTTATTATCCTGTTTTAACATTTGACCAATTGACAAAAATAAAATTGATTTCTTGGTTTGTCAGGACTGTGATGGCACAGCCCTCCGTCTGTCGCAGTGTGCCGACATGCTGCAGCCACAGATGGTGTACACAGTCAGGTGGCATACATAGTTTCCCTCAGCTATTAAAAAGCATAGCGTAAAAGTTAGCTGGCAAAAACCAGTGAGCATAGTGCCTCTACTGAAGGGGTTTTCACTCAACATGTCATAAATTCCATTTATGACATTTAAGCTCAGAAAAAGCTCTCATTAAGTTCTCATTATACTTTGGCCCCCTTTACATCAGTCTTCCCAAGACTAACGTCTGAGTACTTCAACATTAGATGAGGGCATACTTTTGTCCAGAAATTTAAAACACCAGTGTCCATACAGTCAGCTAAACAGACCGATAACAGCTGTGGTGGACTGAGGGGTCTCACTGCTCTTAATATACTTCGTACCATTTTCCTTAGTCATCCCAGGACTAACCTTAGTACTTAAACATCAGAAGCGGGTGCAACAAAGAATAAATAAACTTGAATAAGTAGATAAATAACACTTAAACACTAATGGTCACATTGTTATATGGTCACAGACTTGATTTAAAATAACTTTCCCAGCCTAGCATTGGGTGTGATTCCCAAGTTTAAAGGGGCTTTTCTTCTTTTCTTTTATGTAACAGCTGTTAGTCATCTAAATAAACAGTGTAAGCTGGCGTGTGTTTTGAACATACATTTTTTTTATCCTAATGATTAGGTTGGCAAACTATAAGCTCTTAAAAGCCGTTTTAACAGGAAGCTCTGCCAGCTAGCAATATGGCAAACATCTGTCCTGCTGATGCGCCTTTAAGCAAGATAGTTAAACACTGTTACTGACCCTGACCTCTGACCTATACCTGGGAAGAGAGAGTTTCCTCCCAAGGATGAAGTGTTGTATGATTCATAATAGGCTAACGTTAACTTTTTTTCAGTAAATAATAAATGTAAATATACAGGTAACATTGTCTGAACCAAGCTAGTGCATGGAGATTAGTATACCAGCAGCTCACATGTTAAACAAAGTACTCAAAAGGCCATTCATGGCTGTTTGAGGTGGCGGTAGATGGACTGTGCTCAAACAAGTGGAGAAGATGATGGGGTGGGGGTGTGAGTGCCTTAGTCCCCCAGAGAAGTTGAAGTTCTTTGGTTTGTTGGAAGCTCCATCAGGTTTCAGGCTGGATGCTGGACTCACTCTAGCTACACTGGTGGTTTTTGTTTGCCAGTATCATCACAGACTGTATCAGCCAGGAAGACAATCAGGGTTTCTTTTCTGTGTATACTACACTATGAAAACTTGTTTGTGCCAGAGCTTTTGTAAAGAAGCACCTTATTTGTGACTCTACGTTCCCTTTTCTTTCTTACATCGTGGTACATTTACTGTTGCTGTTGGTGCTGCCTGTCCTCACTTCTCCACCCTTCATCTGCCTCTCTCCCTCTTCCTTTCTCTCTCTCTCTCTCTCTCTCTCTCTCTCTCTCTCTCTCTCTCTCTCTCTCTCTCTCTCTCTCTCTCTCTCTCTCTCTCTGGACACAGATTCAGAGCGTGATCTGATCTCCATGTAATGGGAGAGTAATAGGCACTCTGCCTTGATTGGTTGGTAATTTGGGGGAGTTATGCACAGGTGCAATTTGTAATATTTTCAGTAAATTAAATTTCTTTCTCTTCCTCTCTCCCTCGCTCTTCTTCTCTCCCTCCCTCCCTCCACAGCGCCTGACTCAAATAGGCAATTTTTTCTCACCCTGTTTCAAATCACTGTCCTGACTTTTCTTTTCTTTCATCCTTTTATTCAGTGCTTTCTTCCCCTGCTCCCTTCTTTTCATTCTTTCCCTCCCTCCCTTTTTAGCTCTTACACTCATTCTCTTCTCCTCACTTGCCTTTTCTCTCCTCCTTTCACCCTCCCTTTCTGTCTCTCTCTTTCTCCCCTCGTTTTATTGATGTACGCTCAGGCGCCCATTAGAGCTCCCTTTTTCCCTCTAGTGGAAATTGCAGCATGTTAATTTTCACACAAATTACGGCAATAGCAGGTATCTCTATTTGATACATTATAGCGGGAGCAATCAGAGATAATTGAGTGCCTTTCAGAGGGAGACGGCTGCATTCACTGCCGGCTCAAAGCTGCCCCATTATCGCCTAATCGCTCTTTAAACACTGAATTTTGCCGAACAAAAATTCTTGTCATAATTTTGCTTAAGTGTATTTGGAAATCACAGTCCTTTGAGCGAGGATAATTGAAATCAAATCCCTTTCACTGGAGCTGACATTTCTACATTTCCCCCCAATTGAAATTAATTTCAAAAATTGAGCATGAATATCTTCAAATAGCAGGCAATTATGCCTTTCAATGGGGAGAAATTACCGGTGCTGAATCGTTGGAGGCTTGCGGGCGAGAGCACCAGTTAAATGCCTTTGTTTCCCACCGTGTTTGCCTAGTAAAGATTTACATATATTGACTCATTATGGTGTCTTGTGAAGCTGATCGGCGTGACTACCACAACTGGCAATAACGTTCATCGCATCTAAAAAGCTCAAGAGTTTTAAAGCCTTGTGGCCTCACAGCTGAGGGAAAATGTATGTTTGTTTCTTTCTACCACCACCCCTTTTCTCACTCCCCCTCTCTTTTTGCAGCTGCAGTTGTGGGGGGGGGCTTAGATATTGTAGCTTCAAGTATTTAGCAATGCGTGTTTGCAGCTAAACTGGAGACGAGTATGAAGAAAAGTGTGTAATGCTGAGGCCTCCTTGTTTGTGTTTAATCCATACCTACTCTATGTCCATGCATAGCAGCTTGCACACTTCCCATCCACTGCAGAGTCAGTGTCTTTGTTTTGGACACAGATCCACTCCGACTATTTTATGAACTGCTTCACTTAAGACACAGTATGATGCACAGAAGTTCTGTGGAGGTCAGGTGTGTGTGTTTGTGTGCATGCGAGCACCCTAAAAGACAGAGAGGGGTGTTTTTAAGACTCTGAGGAAGTCTTGAGTGTTCGTTTTATTGTGAGAGCTATTTTAGACTGTTGCTCTGTGATTTGGATCAATTGGTATGATTTAGTCTCCTTTTCTTATTTCTTACTTTTCATTTTATACATCCTGTCTCACACACAGACGTCTCCCTCTGCCTTTTGGCCGTAACAGCATTTGTGCTTGTGTACACGTGCTGGGGTGTGTGCACATGTGTGTCAGGAGGGGTAGCCAGTTGGGGAAGAGGGAGGCAAAGAAGCAAGAGGTATGAGGTGGGGGCTGGGGAGGGGGGTTCCTACGCTCCCGGGAGAGAGGCAATTTCACAGCTGGTTTGCTCCTTAGGCAGTCAGGCTGAAAATGCTGCAGATTTGTGGAGCAAATTGAAATGGTGTCAGTGCAGGAACAAAGCGCTGAGCTGAATGACGA